GATTTAATTGCGCACAATGTAATATGACGATCAAGCATGTAGTTGACCGATACCGACGTTTTGGCCGTATCTAAAGGGAATTTTAATTAACCCAATTTTGAAGGAAACGTTTTAGGTTTATTTGGGTCGTGCACAGTACGGAGTCGTTTCCTGCCAAAACTTGAACTGTCAGCCCATACTTCTGCTTTACCGGGTTCTCAGCGAAACGCTTGCCAAAAATCGTTCAATCTTCACAGGTTAAACATTTGTCATGGTTGACATGGTGTTAGAACTGGGCAAATAATTTCTTCTGACGTGCTTGCTCGGCCAACTTCCTTTTCTGACAACGCCAATATATTCCTACCATGCTGAATTTTTCTTCCGGTGTCACGTGATTTACCAGTTCGGAGGTCCTTTTGAATTAGAACTTGACGGGACATGTCCTTCATTTAATTCTGAGACACTCTGTTTGCCTGTGTTGTTGTTCTCATCCCTAGTCATCCAGCTTCGTTCGCCTTACAGGTAGATCTTTATTTTTTTTAGTGACGGTTTTATTTATGTTTACAGTTGCATGGTAACTTATAAGTTCGACTAAAAAGTTATGATCAGAGAGCTACTTAATTAAGAACTAGAACTTTAAGGTAGCCTGTTCACGCTATATTGTGCACATAATAGCCTCTCTAACTGTCGGAAAAATTTTTACAGAGTTAATTATTGAAACTATTATTTTTGATGGTATTAGGATTTTACAAATGATATTCTAACTAATGAATTTGACCGGGTAATAGTCATTGTTTCATGTGGCCTCATTTGACGTGTTTTACTCCTTTCTTAAGGAAATCACTACAGCTACAGTATAGTCAGTTAAAGCTGTAACTACGGTCGTTATGATTGATGAGGCTAAGCAAATTAAAGTTAAAGTTATTGGCCTTTAGAACAAAGTATTTTAAGCAACACTTCTAAAATAGCACTAATGCTCGCCAACAACACTTTTCGGGACAGCTGGATCGGGAATTGGCAAAACGACGGTGCTCGCTGTCCAACAATTCAGAAGTATAAATAGATTGTTGAACCGATATGCTCATGATGCCAGGTCAAAAAGATTTCCCCTCTTGCACTCGCTGTCATTCGATAAGTCATCGTTTACATTACATAAATTTATTCCTTCTTGCTAGTTGAAACGGCATAAAAAACGGTTCATTTATTCACAACGTAGACAATTTGGTCGACTGACTACAACCGACGTTTTGGTCCGTGTCCTACGGGTCTTCTTTAAGGTAGAGAGGCTGGCTAATTGAGGAAGTCCTTTTCACTGTTCGCAGCGGTTGGTTCGCTTAGAGCTGAGAGCCTTCCAATGTCGATCAACCGATGTCATTACCTTGAAGAAGGCCCGTGATACGTAGGTCGAAACGTAAGTAATGAACCATCATCCAGTTGACCAAATTGTTGGAAACTGGGCTTCGTGGTGAATTCCGACCCAGTGTTTTCCTGAGTTTGAGGTCGGCTGCATGCCACTGTGCTACCGTTTCTCCCCGCAAAGACCAGCGTTCAAACTCAAAAACCGGCTTTCACCTGATTAACTTGATTGGACGAGTGGTGCGTTGATGTACATTCGTTGTCTTGCGTCTTTCCAGCGCACACCTTCGATGCATGCAGGTGCAATGAGCTGTTGATTTTGCCATATGCATCTTCGTCAAATAGGTTTCGTGCAGACAGCAGTGAAATTCCAGTTCAAAGCCAACCAATGCCAGTGGAACACTCAAAGAAATGCCGTTTTACAGTTTTATACTCCAATACTCTGCAATACCTGGTATTCTGTATCGAACATTGTCCGTTCTTACTTGCTGATCATTTGCAATTCGTAGGATAGATTAGAGACTTTCTTTGGAGATTAACATTAACCACAGCAGCGATCCCAAGACTTCAGTTTATATGTTAATCGACGTATTGTTATCCTATATGCACAAAGTCAATTGACGAGTCAATTATCGGATCATCATCACCAGGAGCCCGCTGTCAGCATTTTGATCGTTCAGACATGAATTGTAGAGGCTGGTAATCGCGATTTTGCATTACTTGAGGGTCGGTGATCGCCAAATAAGCTAGCAAATCAACAGTGGAACTCAGTTTTGAATGGGAGAGAAATTGTGAACACGCTATAGTGTTCCATATATTGATCAAATATCATGATCTGTACGAAGCACCTTGAAAGCGCGATCATCGACCAGTGACTAAGCTCTGGCGAAATAGAAAGTAACGTTAAGTCTGACGTACCGTCGGTTCCTCAGTCGGTAGAGCGTCTGACTTCTGAGATATCGTAGGTGCGAGCCTCAGTCAAGTCTCTCGTTTTCTTCCCTGTGAGGTTTATCAATCGGTACCATTTTGTGGAAGGGGAATTGAGGAATGTACATTGTGCTCGTGACATCCCTGTGGTCGACTTTACCTTTAGAACTAAGGCACTTCGGGATGATGACGTGGAAATGAAAATCAGCGTTCCACCGATAACTTCATGAAAGGAAGTATACCAGAAATGGTTCTATCATGAATGGGTCGGGAAGACACGTTGCCACACGACAGGTTATAGACTGGCTTTACCAGAACAAGTTCCAGTGCACAGTCAGAACGGATTATGAGAGAATCGTGCTTGAAAATGTTTAATGAAGATGAGCACTGCAGCCTTAAAATATTTAAAACCAGTTAAGCGAGTCTTCTGAAATGATATAGACATTAAAGAGTCACGGAGTAGCAGGTAATCATATAGTCTGAATCACTGACAGGTGACGAAGGGTGGGGCAGTTAATGACAATCCGATGCGCAATATATGATTTACCACACACATGTCTGACATGACCACAGGTAAAGGATTCCAGTGGTTCAGAAGTATTTAGGACCAGCCGATCTGGTCGAACTCGCATCCTTGGGCGTTCGCGTCCGGCTGTATTACCCATGTGATCATCGGTAAGTCTAAAGCAGGTCCATTTTCTGTAGGTTTCATAACCGAGGGAATGCGACAGAAAATGAACTTGTAGAAGTCAGCTGAAAATCGTCAAAAATTCACCTTGATTCTGTAAGGTGAACTTGCTCAGACAAATGAAGCGCTAATTTTGTAAAGTTTGCCATCGTCTCGCTAACATATGATATCGGGATCATCGTAACAACTTTTAAAGCACAACCTTAATAAGATTTTGATGATCACTCCTCTTCGTTAGTTGTATTTCTAACTCATTTTCACTTAGGCATCCTGCCATGCATCCTGCCATCTTACGCCTCATTGTGTTAGCCGTCAATGTGATGTTCGCTGCGGGAGTAATAGCCGCAAGTGTCCCGACTTGTAATGCAAAGGTATGTTCTATTGATTTATTTGCAATATGGCGCGCTACACAAACCGCGCAATTCACATCATATTATATATTTGCCTAATATATGCTCCAGCGTTCTTGTTCAGTCGGTAGAGAGCTGAACTCAGAATCGAAAGGCGCCAGATTTGAGCCCCGGTGGGATCACTCGCCTAGCTTTTTTCTGAGGTTGAAAAATGAGTACCAATCTGCCGAGATGAACAGCGAACTAAACGATATGCTGTTGCTTGTGCTTCGAAATAAGACACTCCTTATTACCCCATCATAAAGCGAAAGGAAAAACGAAATTCCAAGGAGTACGAACTTTCTCTTCCTTCCTTTCAATCCCAGCATGCCTTAGCCAGTCCCAAATCTGGCCAAAATTTTATTCCATTTATAATAACATTTATTTATATTTATTGTAATGGAAAATAGATCTAGTGGTAAAGTTTCGTTTCGTTTTACATTGTCTTTTTCTAATTGAAAGACATGCATGAAGCATGCGCGTATTTAACACCACGTGAAACCGCCGACCTCTTTTCATTTCGCAATTGAGAAGTAGTATCGTTCGTAGAGCAGAGAGGATCAGCATCAAATCATAACGCGGATTGAAAACATCGAATTATTACTAGCATATTTTCAAAATCAGAAAACAAGCTCATGGTATATTTAATAAGAACCACAAAACATTAAAACAAATGGATCATATCGCTTCGATTTTATAGTTAGTAATACAAATTGGCAGTGCGTTGTTCATGCTGCCGACAGCAGAATCAGAAGATGCCTCTCCACTGATATGAATATAAATATTATGAACAACAGCACGTGTTTGTGCTTTTAAAGAGCGGACAAGGTCATGCTTTTCGTTTATAGGGCAACTACGACAGCAGATTTGTTTGCAATCATCCGCAGGCCGAAATTTTCCAGGAAGCAGCGGTCACATCGTCTAACGGTATCTGTTCTGACATTGGAAGAGACCTACTGAAACTTGGAGGCAATGCAGTGGATGCCGCCATCGGAGTGGCGATTTGTTTAGGTGCCGCAAGTCCTGAGCTAAGTGGTCTTGGAGGCGGTCATTTTACGACTATCTACATGAGGTTACAAGATATTCTGATTATCACTGTGATACGGTATGATAAGTGGTTTTGGCACCTTAAAAATAAGCATCTAAGTGTGTGATTCATGTAGCAACGGGCTACGTAGCAATTTGAGGTTTGAGTTCAAACGGATTTGAAGTCATCCTCAAGTGCACCCTCAGTCGATCGCGATAATCAGTATCAGGGGCTGCTTTTCGTTCTGTCAAGGTCAAGTCGAACCGGATCAAATCTTTGAGTGACTGCAAACCCTCACGAACGTATCTCCGAAGTGCTGTTCAATCATCACTCAATACTACATAGAGAAGAAAAGATAGGAAGAAACTTTTATTGGAGTTGTATTAAATTAATCAATTTAATCAAAGAGCACTCTCTGATATAATCCACAAGTTATACCGTTTCTATGGTAAAGGGAAAGATCCTGCCCTAAATGCTGGCTCGGAAATCTATACCCTAAATCGTATTTTCGTGCCATCTTTCCTCTGTACATACGTTATTCAAATATCTGTACTTCACCATTGCTTTCGCTAACAGTAAGCGACGCTTCCTATGACAGACAACACTTAACGGCTACCTCACTGGGTGAAAAGCATGAAATTCACAGTAGTCAATCAATGCGAATGATCGTCTTTTAAATGTTCTCTTCTGCTCTGAAGTTAGGTTATCCTACTGCAAGAAAATACACCACCCTTAAAGATATTTCACCTAGCCTTTCTTCGCTTTAACATGTAAGCAGCACTTTGATTTCTTCACTGACGACCTTGCATGGTTTATTCAAGGTGCCATGATCAGAATATTAAAAATGTATTCATGATCACAAATAAAGTAAAAGTCCATTTGTATAACGGTGACATGTCAGAAGAGTAATAAGAAGCCATAATGTATATTCGCTCTGATTGGTGAGCCGAATGGATGTACCGCAAAAGACCCTGTCCGTTGCGGGGAGATTTTGGGGCCCTTCGAGACTGACAGTGAACCCTACCGTGATCAGAATCTCACCAAGCGCTTCCCTTCTAGATCTCGATTGATTTGCCTGACCCATTGATGTGGAAGACAAAAGATAGAATTCACGGAGGTTGGT